GTGTGTGTGTGTGTGTACAAGGCTGGTGCTCTACCACCTGACTATCTCTAGTCCTTGGTGTGTGAGTGTGTCCTGGAGCTTGAACTCAGGCTCTTGGGGACTCTCCCTGAGCTGCTTTTGCTCAAGGCTGACGCATTAGCACTTGAGCCACAGTGTCACTTCCGACTTTTTCTGAGTAGTTTGTTGGAGATAAGAGTCTCATGGCCTTCCCTGTCTGGGCTGGCTTTGAACTGTGCTCCTCAGATCTCAGCCTCCTGAGTGGCTAGGATTGCAGGTGTGAGCCACCAGAGCCTGCTTCAAAAGCTATTTTTAAATGAGTCCTATTTCTGTGTAAAGAGTAACAATGGAAAAACTATTAAGTAGGGCAGAAAATCATCAAGAACTGAACCACAGAGGTCAGTATAAGCTGTGAGGCATACCAAGAAGTGTAATTAGCATACAAGAACGCTTACTTTTGACAGATAAGTTTAAGACTGAAGATGTGCCAATGAGGCTGTGGGAATCTTTTAAATGACTGTTGTTGGGAAAAGAGCTCCCCAACCCTTCCTATCCTTTTTCCTGAATATGATCAAGTCATTCCTTCATTCAGATAATTACAAGTACCTATCCAGAGCTGAGAACTGATCAATGCACAGTATCTGATGCTTTGACAACATCCTTCCTTTCCTCCAGCTTTCCTAGCACCCTCCCTCAGTCCCCACCCCGTACAGGAAGAACTACAAGTTATACCAGCAGATTTCTCTGACCATGTTGTTTCTACATGCATGTGAGAAGACATGCATCTGTCACGTGCTCGTGAATGTACTGGAGGACATTATTGCCATTTGCATGGGTAATTAAGAAAAAGAAGTATGGTAACTCCCATCTGGGATGTGACTTCTGGACAGAAGAAATTGTTCAATTTTTCTTTCAGGTATTCCTAAAGGCTCTCTGGTTCAAAGAACTATGTCCAAGCTGGGTGCCAGTGGCTGACACCTGTAATCCTAGCTACTTGGGAAGCTAAAAACTAAAGGATCTTGGTTCAAGATCAGCCCTGGCAGGAGCATTTGAGAGACCCCTTTTAACCAATAGGTGGCTGGGGGTGGGGGTAGCGAGGCACATGGCTGTCATCCCAATCTAGGTGGGAGGCTTAGACTGGGAGGATGATGGCTCCAGGCCAGATGGGGCAGAAAAGTCCCTGAGACTCCATCTCAACAGAAAGAGGCTATGTGTGGTAGCATGGCGTACCAGTAGCTGCAGATGCTTCCAGAGATGCTAAGGCATCTAATCTCATCTGTTATTTCTTATATGCCATCACAGGGAACATAGTAACAATGAGCGAGGCTCAACTAGGCTGTTCAGTGTCACTATCATACAAGAGGCCACTGAGATGCCTAGACAGGCATGGCTGGAGCTTCCTGATCTAAGCTGCTCTGAGGCCACACTCAGCTCCACAACTGCAGAGCTCTAAGTCTGAGGTCGAGTCACAGGTGCCAGGGCAAGGAGAAGGCTCTACCCCTGGGGCCCTGCGTGGCTGGTATGGGTGGGCAGGACAACATGCCCTCCTGGCCTGGAAGCTTTGTCACAATCGACTCCCTTATTCAACACCAACATTCAAACAAATGACAACAATCTAAGGCAGTCTGAGGTGTCATGAAACAGGAGAAGAGGCCAGCTTCCCCATCAACACAGACCAGACTTATCTCTGTCCCAAAATAGCCAGATTTCCATGCAATCTCTTGGGCAACATGGAGCACCAGGACACAGATTCCCTACCCACACCTGTGCTCCTGGTACGCTGGTCACCAAATTCTCACAGAAGTATCCATAGACATGTCACAGCACAGAGGTCCACAGGGATGGGGCTGCCTCCCTCTGGTGCCCACAGTGATCTGGACTGGCTTTTCCTGAATCCCACACTGTTCCCACCCTCTGTGTCTGTGTCTGCCTCAGAGAAGTGCACAACTCCCTGAGCTGCCATCAGCCTCCAGGTGAATAATGCTCACAATACTGGCAGAAGCTCTAGAAATCAGGTCTACCAACCCGGTTAAAAGAAAGTCTTTGGCCGGGCACGGGTGGCTCACGCCTGTAATCCTAGCTACTCAGGAGGCTGATATCTGAGGATCACGGTTCAAAGTCAGCCAGGCAAGGAAAGTCCATGAGACTCTTATCTCCAATAAAACCACTAGAAAACCAGAAGTAGCACTGTGGCTCAAGCAGTAGAGCGCTTGCCTTGAGCTGAAGAGTTGAGGGCTAGTGCCCAAGCCCAGAGTTCAAGCCCCACAACCAACCAAAAAAAAGGTCTTTGGTCAGACATGGTGACTCATACCTATAATCTAGCTAATCAGAAGGTAGAGACTAAAGGATCATGGTCTGATACTAGTTTGAGTTAAAACAAAAACAAAAAACAGTCCAAAAGATTCCATCTTGACCAATAGCTAGGTACAGGGGCAGGGACCGGTTATCCCAGCAACGTGGGAAGCACAAATGGGAGGATTATGGTCTAGGACATAAAGTAAGACACTATCTTGAAAATAACCAACACCAAAGGGGCTGGCAGATTGACTCAGTGTTAAGAGCATCTCCCTAAGCTGGGTGATGATGGCTCCTGCCTGTAATTCTAGCTACTCAGGAGGCTGAGATCTATAGGTTTGGGGTTTGAAGCGAATACAGCCAGTAAAGTCCATGAGATTCTTATCTCCAGTTAACTACCAGACAACCAGGAAGTGTGCTGTGGCTTAAAGTGGTAGAACACTAGCCTTGACCAACAAGAAAAGCTCAAGGACAGTGCACAGCCCTGAATTCAAGCTCTTAGGACCAGTACATGTGTGTGTGCACACGAGCACAGATACACAGATACACAGACATACAGACACACACACACGTTTTTGCCTGGCAAGTGTGAGGCCACGTTTAAACCCCAGTGCCACCAAATAAAAAAACAAAAACAGTCAGGGGCTGGTGGCTCACATCTGTAATCCTAGCTATTCAGGAGGCTGAGATGAGACAAACTGGAGAGACTCTTCAGTAAAAAGCTTGAAGTGGAGGTGTGGCTTAAGTGGCAGAATATCAGCTTTATTTGAAAAAGCTAGTAGGAAAGAGCTAAAGACCTTGAGTTTCAACTCCAGTTCTGGCACATACACACACACGCACACGCATATGTGTACACATACACGCACATACATAAAACAAGCAAGAGAAGGAAGTATTGGCGATTGTTCTGACAGGAAAACTTTCTAAGGGGAACCAATTGCCCTCAGGTACAGCCAATGGGATCCTCATTAAAGACCAGTTTTTCTACATGCACACACTCCTTCCTCCTCACATCCCACGTACTCCCTTTTTAACCAGTGTTTGCAGTGTGCTAACACATGCAGACACACAGCAAGCTCCAGTGCAGAAGCTCGCAGCTGCCTTGCCAGGACCCCAGCATGCTGCCACAGTGCCTCATCTCTCTTCTCCCTTCCTGAGGATGGGTTCTACTCCTGGCAGCACTCTTCTCCCTCTAAGGACTCAAGGTTTTGAAGTGAACTTGAGGTTCTCACTCTTCTTCATGTAAAAAACATAGGGCATCCTTTTGCCTCAGTAAGCTAACAGTCTTAAATTCATTAGCCTATAGGTTAAAAAGGGGGGGTGGGGAGAAACACCAGGCCAGGGATGTGGCTTAGTGGTAGAGTACTTGCCTAGCAGGCACGAAGCCCTGGGTTCGATTCCTCAGTACCACATAAACAGAAAAAGCCAGAAGTGGTGATATGGCTCAAGTGGTAGAGTACTAGCCTTGTGTGAAAGAAGCTCAGGGACAGTGCCCAGGCCCTGAGTTCAAGCCCCAGGATCAGCAAAAAAACAAAACAGCAGCTTGCTCTTAGTGGCCCTAAAGCAAGTAAACACTCACCATGCTCTATTCCTCCCTCACTTAGGAAAATCTTAAGACTGGCAGGCACAGGTAAGTGCCTACACTGAAAGAGCTCTCAGTCAGGGCCAGCCAAGTGCAGCCAGTAGGCCAAATCCAAACAGCCCATTTTGTAAATCAAGCCTCACTGGGCACAAGGCCATGCATGGCCATTTGTCGTGTTATCACTGGTGGAGGTCTACAATGACAAGAGTGGAGGGCTGAGGAAGCTGTGACACAAACTGCACAACCAGGACATTTAGTACTAATAGGCAGAAAACATGTTGTACCTGGTCCACAGAACAACCTGCCAGCCCTTCCCTCCTCCCAGCACATGGGATATGCAGTCATTCTACTGATACACATCACAAGATGACTGTCAATGTTTCTGCCCTTTGGGCTCACCTTAAAATCGATCTCGGGGTCCTTGCAGCAGGAAATGCAGGTTGCAATCAACACTATTAGGATCACGAAGCTGCACACAGACAGGATGACCAATGATGAGGGCACTTCCACAGCAGATGCCTCCCCTGCAGAGAAAGAGTATCATAACATGTCATTGCAGAATCAGCTTTAATGACTGAGCCACTAGAATTTCTCCAGATCACTGGGACTAGGGGTAAATAAAACAATGCTTAACTACTCTACTTTTGTGTGTGGTGGGGGAGGAGAGCCTGGGGCTTGAACTCAGGGCCTAGGTGCTGTCCCTGAGCTTTTATGCTCAAGACTAGTATTTTATCACTTGAACTACAGCTCCATTTCCACTTCTTTTTTTTTTTTTTTTCTGTCGGTCATCGGCCTGAACTCTGGGCCTGGGTGCTGTCCCTCAGCTCTTCAGCTCAAGGCCTAGTGCTCAACCACTTGAGCCACAGAGCCACTTCAGGCTTTTTCTGCTTATGTGGTGCTGAGGAATTGAACCCAGGGCCTCATGCATGCAAGGCAAGCACTCTACCGCTGAGTCACCTTCCCAACTCCTCCATTTTTTTTTTGCTGGTCTTGGGGCTTGACGTCAGGGCCTGGGCACTGTCCCTGAGCTTCTTTTGCTCAAAGGCTAGCACTCTACACTTGAGCCACAGCTCTACTTCTGTTGCTTCTGAGTAGTTTGTTGGCCTTTCCCATAGCCATATCTCAGCCTCTTGAGTACCTAGGATTATAGGTGTGAACTACCAGCATCTGGCACCTATTTTTTTTCCTTAATCTTCTTCTGGAACTGCCAGATCACTTGACTTTTCTGTGGTTAACTGGAAATAAGAGTCTCACAGAGACTTTCCTGCCCTTGCTGGCTTTGATCTACAGTGCTCAGTTCTTAGCCTCCTGAGTAGCTTGGATTACAGGTGTGAGTCACCAGCACTGGGCTTCATTTTTGTTTTGAAGCAAGCTTAGATTTAAGAGAAGTCCAGTAAAATGTCCTGACATACCCTTCACCCAGCTTCCATTAATGTCCACAGTTTACATCTACATGGCATATTTCTCAAAACAAGGACAGTAACATGGGCACGGCCCTGGGGTTCTGACTGTGTACAGATTTCCCTTTTCTCCAAAGATGTCCTTTCCCATTTCCAGGGTTCAATCCAGACCTGAACACTCACATGCCCTCCAGTCTCCAGTTAGCCAGCCTTTTGTTTCCTAACCAAATTTGGCCTTTCTGAAGAACATTGGACAGCTTTTGTCTGGCGCACCTCAATCTGGTGAGATTACAGTGAGATTACAACGTATCTGGGAGAACCTAGAACCACACAGAGGCCTGCCCTGCATCCCGTGAAAGGCAAGGGAACTTTGACTACAGGATGCATATGATGGCAGTTTTGCCACCATAAAGTCCCTATTGAGGTTCTCTTCACAGACTGTGCTATGAGAAGACCAACCCTAGGCAGAGTGCTGCTGAAGAGCTTATAGACCTATGTCCAAAACACCACCAGAATGAACTTGATACTCAGAGGCTGGGGAAATACTTGGAGGCTACGCAGATATCCTGCTTCTCCTTAAGGTTCACTGTTTTATTTTGTTCTTTTGTGCCAGTATTAGGGCTTGAATTCAGGGTCTTGAACTGGCACCCAGCACACCTTATTGCTTATTAAGAATTTAATTCTCTAGAAGACATCATTCCACTAAGGTAATTCTGATCCTGTTCTTCGTTAGGGTACACAACTAAGTCCCCACTGCTGGAGTTTTACTAAGAAATGTTTCCAGCAGGGTTCTAGTGCCTCATGCCTGTAATCTTAGCTACTCAGGAGACTGAGATCTGAGGATCAGGATTCGAAGCCAGCCCAGGCAGGAAAGTCTATGAGATGCATATCTCCTATCTCTAATAATTAATCACCAAAAGAATGAAAGTGGAGCTGTGGCTCAAGTAGTGGAGCACAAAAAGCTCAGGGAGAGTGTCCAGGCTCAGAGTTAAAGCTCTAGGACCAGCACATACATAACACGCACAAAAGAAATGAACATGTCCTAAAAAATGTAATCCACAGGCAGTTAAATGGTGGACTGCATAGAAAGTGACAGGCTAATAATGACATGCCACTTTTCTAAAGTGAAGCTATACAAATGAATATAGTGAGTCACAGAAGCCTACAGTGTGCAAACAGGACCTAAGCTCTTTTCACAGACTTAAAAAGTTTATTGGTGAAAGCAAGGCTAGCAGCTAACTGCTTCAGCACAGGGCTTATCCAAGGATGGCTAAAGAGATCTGCAAGTTCTATATCAACATGTCTAGGACAGGGTATCCCACATTTATTGTGGTCTTCTCTAAAGCAATCAGGAGAAAAATCAATAAAAAGCAAGAATTTCCTAAGCAGACACACTTGCACACATGGTAAACATCATGGGAGCCCAATTTTTATGAATGAGGACACAGAGATGCCTTCCTCTCTTCCTCCAGGGGGCTGGCAGTGCCTTCCCAGTGGTATTGATCTTTAATAACTCTGCCTCACTCCTCAGGCTCACATGAGATTAAACATGACTCCTGGGGATTACATAGCGCTTTTACATCCTCCACACTGTACTTTAAGATCTATCCATCCATCACTTTTATTTATTTAAGACAGAGTCTTATTATCTAAGCCAAATCAGGATCTTCTGCCTCAGCCTTCCCAAGTGCTGGGTTTACAGGTATGCACTACCATGCCCAGTTTCTCTACTTTATTTTAACATCTTTTGTTTTTTCTTGTGTTTGTTCTTTTTTTTGTCAGTCGTGGGGCTTGAACTCTGGGCTTAGGTGCTGTCCCTGTGCTCTTCAGCTCAAGGTGAGTACTCTACTGCTTCAGCCACAGTGCCACTTCCTATTTTAACATCTTTTAATTTCATGTTTATCACATCTGAATCCAAATGGTTTGCCAGAAAGCATTTCTTTTTGAAATAATACAAAAGTGAGAACCTAACTTAAAATCAACAGCAGCTAAAATGACAGAATACAATATTATTTTATTTGACTGTCCCAACCCCTGTAGTAACTGAACCAGCTCCACAGTGCTGAAAGTGAGCTTGGAGAGCATGTACACGTGCCTACCCCTCCCTTGACGTGATGCTTCTGCCTCCATGTGATTAAATTAACTTTGCACACTAACAAACATGCTGTACTTTGAACCCAAGGCTAATAATTATGGAAGTTTGGGCTTCTGGGGCCCTTCTCCAAACTGATATTAATTTTTTCAACTTTTTTTTATTGTGAAAATACTGTACAGAGGGGTTACAATTACATGAGCAAGGTAATGAGTACATTTCTTTCTTTCTTTCTTTCTTTTTTGGTAGGTTGTGGGGCTTGAGCTCTGGGCCTGAGTGCTGCTGCTCAGCTCTTTAGCTCAAAGCTAGCGTTCTACCACTTGAGCTATAGCGCCACTTCCAGTTTTCTGGTGGTTTATTGGAGATAAGAGTTTCACAGACTTTCCTGCCCAGGCTGGCTTTGAACTTCAATCCTCAGATCTCAGCCTCCTGAGTAGCTAGGATTACAGGCGTGAGCCACGAGTACCAAGCTAATTAGTACATTTCTTTTGTTTGGGTTTTTTTAACTGTATTTTTTTTTGTCTTTTCTTTTTTGGTACTGGGATCGAACCCAGGAGGTTGCACTTGCTAGGCAAGCACTTTGCCACTGAGCTACATCCCAGCCCAGGAGTACATTTCTTATCAAGCATTGTTGCCTCCTCCTTTGTTTCCCCTTCCCATCTCCTCTCCACCTAACTCCCCCCTCCCCGGACACCTTTTTCACCTTTCTTTTTTACTCTTTTTTGCCTTTTTTTACTCTTTTTCTTTCAAATTGGATTAAGTCTGCCAGAAGGTCAGCTCAAGAACCAATTCATCAAGTTGTCTACTACAAGTGATTAGACAGGCATGGAAGCATACCCAGGCTAAAACTATTAACTTCAGCCACACTCTGCTTCCCTCCCTCCCATATTTCCTGACTAGGACTCTGCGGGAGGCAGAGGGGAGAGGGCACCCAGGCTTCTCTCCTCCTACAGCTTTCCTCAATGCAACCTCAAGGCTCAACAACCAGGTAAGCAAGACTCAGAAAACACCACAGGAGGCTGGGTGTGGTGGATCAAGCCCAGGAGTGCCAACTACTTGGGAGGCAGACTTTAGATCTTGTTTGAGGTCAGCCAAAAAAATAAATAACAACAACAACAAAAATCAGAAGACTCCACCTCACCCAATGGCTGGTCTTGGAGAGGTGCACAAACAGGACAACTAGCATACACCAGCCTGGGCATCAAGGGAATGGTAAAAAAAAAACTGAAATCAGTGAGATGTCTAATAGCTGATGAATGATAAGGAAAATATAATATGTATATATCACACAATGGAATATTAATCATTTAAAAATGCTATTATGTTATATGTAGGAAAATAATGGAACTGGAGACCATTATGTTGACCATTATGTTGTGCCAGTTAAGTCAAGCTCAAAGAGTCCAATATTGCAGAGCACTGGTAATACTAACTCCTCACGTAGCTGTGATCTGAGGATGTGATTGGGCAGGGAAGTCTATGAGACTTATTTCCAATTAACCACCAAAAAAAGCCAGAACTGCAGTTGTGGTTCAAGTGGTAGAGCAAAAGAGCTGTGTCAGGGACAGGCCCTAGTACAGGTTCTGAGTTCAAGCCCCAGATCAGCACACACACATACAAAAAAGCCAAATACTGATTTGTGGAGGACAGACTAAAATGATGGTGATAATGTAATGGAAATGGGACAGGAAGGGCACTGTCTAAAGGGGATCAATGGTACGGGGGACATCAAGGGGTGAAGATCAAAGGTTGTTACATATGTCTGTCTGTCTGTCTGTATGTATATACATTTGTTCCAAGTACACTGTGTACATGTATGGAATCTCACAAGGAAACCTCCTTGTTTAACAACTGTATGATAATTAAAGAAATAAAGGGAGGATGGCTCAGCCTGGTGGTAGAGTACCTGCCTAACAAGTACGAGGCCCCAAGTTCAAGCTCCAAGACCACCAATAGAGGAAAAAATACTTGAGCACGGCAGCCTCAAATACATGATGGTAATAATGGAAATGGAATAGTCATATTTTTATTC